GTGCAAAATAAAGCCAGTTGATAACTTTAGAGAATTTCCTTGTTTAAATCTTTGAAAAAGAAAGCTAGTATTCTTTCAGCTTCTTTGAACCAAACCCCTGAAATTTGATTGGCTAGTAGCTTAAGGGGTTTATCTTTTTAAAGAAACTCATTGCTAAATAAAAGTGCTGCAAAACACTGGGTCACAAAAATGGATCAATTTAGGAATGACTGTAACTCAGGGATAGAAAACTAATAGTAGCTGAAGTCTGATCCTTAAAGCCACTTTTGTTAGAAGTAGTGGCAAGTTGAAAATGCTAATTTTCATATGCTGAACATAGCCTTGCACCTTCAGCAGCCTGCAGGTCACTTTACTCATCAGTGTGTGCAAGGTAGTGGCAGTTCTTTGGAAATTGTCTGGTGAGCACTTAAACGTTTGCTCTTTGAAACTACCTCCAAAGGCCCCCTCCAGGATGGCTTCAGAAACTTACATCTTCCTGTTTGACATGTGTTGCATTTAATTTTTAGGGTTTGTTTTTAAAGTCTGTCCATGTCTTATCTGTCTTGGTTATTTGTGACTGCGTATTTTGAAAGCATTGATTCAGTCTTTTGTACATTTGTACGCTGTGACACACAGATGCTGTGGGTGGGGCATTTACCGAAGACACTTGTTAATCCTCATGGATTTCTGTCAAACTTGCTGTGCTAGTAATAGGAATTAGAAAAGGTGACCAGGTCACTAGTTGAAATTGAGATGCGTAATTGTCCCCTTAGATGATCCTTGTAAAAAAATAACCAAAAAGCCTTTATAGTTTTATTTTTTCATTAGTGGGAATTGTTACGCCTTGAGAGTACTGCTGATGCTGCAGTTGGATATGGACTTACAAATGTAAAGAAACATAAAAGTAAACGGGGCACAGCACATTGTAAAGTTAGTGGAGACAATTTTTTGAGGGTAGGAACAGCTTTGGGAGTGGAGGGAGACTTCCCCTTCTCATGGTTCCCCTTGTCACATTCCTCCCTGTGCAGATTGTTCAAGGTATATATACTTTTCAAGAGAAATTGACACCTAAATCTATAGTAGCAGGTAAAAGCCACCCTCAAAATCCCCAAGCCAGGCTGCTTTAGAAGGGTCACGTTATTAATGCTGGATCATTAAACTTCCCCTGCAGAACCACTGGTAGAAATATCTTTCTGTTAGAGCTGTTTGAGCTGGTTTGGATTTCAAATGAATCATTGCTCCTGAAAACCAAAAAATGCTTGCTTTATTTTTTTTAATAGAGGACTGCCTTCCCCCCTCAAACATTCTTTCCTAGTAAATGCACTTCTAAATTACAGCATTCCTCTCTTTGAGAAGACTACTGTTCACTGTGCAGTACGTGGCAGTCTGTATAAAAGGGGGCACCTTGCCAGCAGTACTAGGAGCACCATCAAGCTGTGCTGTGTACGGTACCAGAATAAACTCTGCCACTCTGACACTGCTTTTAAAGAAGCTGCTGGCATTTTTTTCTCTCTCCTCCCAGCAGCCAGTTAGAGCTTGCAGCACATGTTAGTTTCCACTTCAGAAATATCAGTCCCTGTTGCATCTCTTACTAGTACTTTTTACATACTTTTCAGAAAGTTTTTTACATAAATGCCAGTATTTTGTGTGACCAGTGACTGTACAAAAGCTGCATTGAAATACTCTGTTGCCGTGCTGGTATAGCAAAAGTAAGAGCATAGCCTTTATAATATCTGGTACTAGTCTGACTAGTACAGTTGGAGAACGTGAGCTTTTGGGTGTATAAGCCCTTGTATGTGATTTAGCTCTGGAAAGTTACTTAGTTTTTTTTCCTAATATACTGATTAGTCTAAAATTGCTTCTGCATGTAAGTATTGTGCTATAAAAATCTCTAATAAGATACGTGATACAGGAGTGTGAGAGGGAGGAGTAAATGCAATTACTGCTAGCTGTGTAATGAATATAAAAGTTGTTAAAAACCAGATCTGTGTGAGAAAGAAGAAAAGCCAATCCCCCAATGTGAATTCAGCATTTGAATGATACTCTTCCAATTTCTGTAACTTTAGCATAGTTCATGGGTGTGTTTTTACAAAGCCAGGTGGGACACCAAAATAATATGCCTTTGTAGTCAGGGAATTTTGGGGTTTGGTGTGGTGTAGTTATTAAGGAAATACCAAATCTTCCTGGAAGTCAAGTCACTCACATCTTAAACTGCCATGCTTATGACTTCCCAAAAGTAAGCTTGTCCCTTCTCCGTGTGATGTTTTCTGCCCTTAGTGGAGTCAAAGGTGTCAGCTGGTCAAAAATACTGACAAAATGGTGCTCATACAAATTATTCTTTCAGATGAGCAACTTAACTTAACAAATGTATATTGAAGAATAGAGCTCTGTGCATTTACTGCGTGATGCTGAACCTTGAACTATGCATATATTAGAAAAAAGTTTGCTGAGCACAGCTCAAGGAGGCTGCTTATTCTGCCCGGTGGGGGAGTCTCTTTTTATAGACAAGAGCAGGAGAAAAACTCCTTTGTATGAAGGAATATCTAAATGGCTCTAAATGGTCTTCAACTAGGTGCACATTCTACTTTGATGTCAGCAGAGGACATGGCTGAGACTAGCAACAAAGAAGGACAATGTCAGACAGATTGTTATAATCTGTGAAGGCCACTAGGCAAAACCTGCAAGTAAGAGAAGCCCCCTGTTGTACATCCTAAATGCCACAGGCACAGAAACCTCCTGATACTGGACAATCAGTGCAAGGTTCTGCAAGCTCTCCTGAGTTCTCTGCCCTTGTGGAAAGCAGCTTTCATGATACTTTCAGGGTTAAATCACACTGTAACTCTTCATAGGAAACTTCAGAACTACAGGTCTCCCCCTAAGTTTAGCTCAGCAGACAGACTGGCACTTGGAAGATGGTATTAGTTCCCCATTTCCTTAACCTTTCATAGACTTTCTTTGTGTCCTAGCCCAATTACTTCTATTTCTAAAATACATATAGTACTTCCCCTTCATGAAAGGGTGTAGTATTCTCCCTGTTGAAAGCTTTAATTGCAACTCTGAATAGCCAGCATGGCAAGAATGCTTGCTTTTGTATTACTTTGGTGGGGGTTTTTTGTTTCAGGTTGTTGGTTTGTTTTGGGGTTTGTTTTTTTTTTTTTAATTTCAATCCCTTATGTGTAGACTGGATAGAAGCAGCAAGAGCCTACCCGTTGAAGCTGGTGGCTGTGGGGCTTTTCTTGTGTATCAAGTGATGTTAGGATTGCTTGTGAGTTTTAAGTGTTCAACATGGCTGCATAGCATGCGGCTGCATAGCTGTTTGTGTGTGTGTGCTTCATATAGTCTTTCTCCTACCCACTTAAGTAAGATTGCATTGTAACACTTCCTTTATACTAACAGTGTTTGGAAATGGATATGTGTTTGTGCAAGTCTGTCTTGAGAAATCTTATTTCATTTTATCTGTAGTTCATCTGTCATTAGAAAAAAAAAAGCTTGTAGAGATTCTGTAACCTGTGTCAGTGCCTTGTGTCACGTGTCATGCTACTGTTCCTCCCATGCACAGTATTTTGTTTGTTTGGGTTTTTTTTTAATACAAATTTTACATTAAAGAATACAACCTTAATTTTAGTGTAGATGTAAAAGTTGAGTAGAAATACTATGATGTACTTGCCAGCAGGTATTTCTAACAAACAGTCTTGTAAAAGTAGCAGGAACCTCTAAGCCGAGTCAGATGCTAGAAAAAAGGTAGAATTAGCTGTTTCCATTGACCCGCAAGAAGGGCAAAAATGGGGCCAAATCATCAGTATTATTATCCATATTAGTGGCTCATAGGAGACTGCCAAAGTGAATAAAGAGGAGGACCGCAAAGGTAGTGAGCATGCCAAGAGAAGGAAAAGAGGCCTGGTTGAAAATGAAGGTGTGTTGGCTAGAGTAGGATGAATAAAGCAGCAGGAAAACCAAGCAACAGGTGAGCAGATGAGTGGGTAGGTGAAATAGTTATATTTTCAAAGAGAATAAAATAACTTGTAAAGAGATGAAAAATGCCTGTGTGTTTGTTTACATGTAAGCAACTGGATGCGTTCGTGGCTGGTAAGGGTCCAGCGGGTATGCACAGAGCTGCGGTTATACTAAGCTTGTGCCTTTTTCTGCCAAACAACGCCACTCTTCTGGGTATGTGGCTGCTTCTGGCTGGCACAGCTGCTTCCCAGTCCCAGCTTTCAAGAATGAGCAACCACATAAAATAGAAAATGCCACACTGGGTCTGGGTGATGGCAGTGATTTTTGTGTAGAACTGCCACTCTAGGTATGCGTACTGTTCTCCGCTAAGTAGTTTGCCAGTTATTTTAAATGTGGTATTTCTAGCTGAAAAGTTCCAATATATGGTAGGAGGCAGACGTTTTGAAGATGTCTTTGGCACTGTGAGCTGACCTTTCACATTTATATTAATAAAAATTGGGGTTAAATACCAAATTTGAAATGAGGTGCTTGCCTGTAAATAAAGTCCTCTCACCTAGTCCTCTCTCAGGTGTTGCTTCAGAATGCATCCAGTGTGCAGTCTAAATTAGCTGTTTGGAATGGGTAAGAGCAAACTGATACTTTTTTTCTAAAACAGCTTCAAGCAGATTTCATTGGTTGGAATATTCTTGTCAGCCATTTGATAGTCCAGTATGGAAATTAAGGCACTTGGATTTAGAGCTTCATTAAACAAGTGTTGTAAATGTTTCTTTCTAGAAAACACGTTTATTAAATGCAAGCCTTCATAATGCCCTGGAAATATTTCTGATCATCATACCAAATTCTTGAAAACTATGAAAAAATAATCTCGAATTCCAGGTACTTCCAAATGTTGCTTTTGTGCTGCCAGTTTACTGCCAATTACTACCATACTTTATTAATTGGTTTCTTCCCTCCTACTTAGTGCTTGGTTGTCTGGATATGAAAGCCCTGTGGTATCTCGCATTAACACAAGGATACAGGACCTAACAGGACTTGATGTCTCCACAGCAGAGGAACTACAGGTAAACTGTTAGGACAAGCATGGTGACAAATGCCAGTTGGCATTTCATTTTGGTTGGCTTTGTGTGCAGTTCCATGCTCACTCAGGTGAGGTGGCCACAAAAGCTCATTCAGGCCAGAGGCAGCTAATGTCATGGCTGGTTTGAATTGAGGCCATGGGAGGAATGTGTGTGGTTTTGTTTCTTTTTTTTTACAGGGAGGAAGAAACAAAGTTGTCTTTGCAGAGCAGTGCTTACTTTGGTGTGAATGGCTTTCTATTACTGGAGGGAAACAGTAATAACTGAAACTCCTGATGTTTGTTGAAGTGGATGTGTAAATCTTTTTTATTTATGCTAGTAAAAGTGAATTTTATTGCTGCTGCTGCTACTACTACTGTGGTGATAATAAAAGCTTAGCTTGTTCTGATACTTACAGAAAGGAGGAAGGAATGGGTGTTTAGATTTGCCATCCCATCCTTGGTCCTAGAAGGCCAACATTGTCTGGTGTCTCTGTAATGTGGGAAAGACTGACTGCACTGTAACTTGAGTAAATTTTATTTTAGAAGTATTTACATTTATTCATTTGCTTGAGCCTTTTAAATGAATAGCTGCTTCACTCATTCTGAGGAAGCACAAATACCTAGAAAGTGATTCCTGAAAGCTGTTGTGCTACTGTGTTATTCCGTCAAGACTCCTGCTGATAAAATGCCCAAGCATCTGGTTGAAAATTGAGGTTATATATACACAGAAGAGATTTAAAAATAAAAATCGATCAGCAAAAGGGGCAATGGATCCTCTTTATTGAAAGACATCAAAAAGTGATTTAAACTTTATACAGTATCATGACCTGTTTTGAAGAGAATAGAGCCTGTGAAGTTTCTATAGAAGAAAAGCATTTTTGTACCTTTGGGAAGTACCTCAGATTGCTTACCTGGACTATACTTCATCTTGTGATGCCAGTCTTGGATGTGCTGCTGCTTTTGTAGCCAAACATCCTGGGGCTCCTCGGAGTCTGTAGCTGTCCAGGTCTTCAGGAGTTTCATGGTCAGGTTCTATGCCCTGGAAGTCATTAGATCAGAGAGCAGCAGGCACTCAGTAATGGGGGAATGTCTTTACCTGTTCAGCTGGGGGTGAACAGAAGAGCTTTCAAGGAGAGGTGACTCCTGGGGAGGGGAAGGGAAGGTTGAGCTGTGGCTTTGCTGGGAGCTGGTGTCCAGCTGAGAACTGCAAAGGTGGACTGAAGGGCTGAGACAGTAAACCTCAGAGCCAGGTTCTGGCTGTGTGAAGTCAGAGCTATTTGTGAATAAACCCAGTAGGGTTTTGCTACACATGGGACAGTTTAGCTGACAGCAGTTGGCAATTTCCTGTGGCTTGATTTTTTTTTTAAACTTCATCTGTCAGAAGGTTGTAAATGATGGTCAAATTCTTGTCTGGATAAAACAGAGCTTTACTAGATTTTGTGCTTCTCCTTTCACTGTAGGTAGCCAACTACGGAGTAGGAGGCCAGTATGAGCCTCATTTTGATTTTGGAAGGGTAAGTCCTGTTTTCTGTTTCCATCTCTTTCTTCTTCACAAGCACTGTGTTTCTCTTTTTCAGGTGGCAAATTATGGAGTGGGAGGACAGTATGAACCCCACTTTGACTTTGCACGGGCAAGTAAAGAGATGGAGGAGAGATAGTCACCTGGTGAAGCCGGCCTCTCGGCTGTGGCACAATTTTTATTCTTTAATGTGTATTAAATTTTGTAGCTCTTCAACTTTTCTGATCTCTGGTAGCAGAGAAAGCCCTCTAAACCACCAGCTGAATCCATAAACATTTTGACATCATGCAAATATCACAAAGCAGCAAGGTTTTTCTTCAAAACTATAATTAAAAAAAATACTGTAAGGAGATGACTGATAGCTCTTAAGAGAGGAAGGGGCATTAGCTTTATTCTAAATCTGAGGAAATGTGTGAAGTATTCTGGCTGACCAAGGCACTGGCCATGTAAAAGCATGTTGTTTAAAAATCACTGAAGGATATACACCTAAACTGGGTGAGAGCTTATAATGCCCTCCTCTATGAGAAAGGCTTTGTTGGCAGTACAGGAAAACTTTCATTGCTGCTTACTGTATAGGCCTGCAATGTTGAGAGAGAACTTCTTTCCCCAGAGCTGATACACAGCTACTCTTGAAGAGATTTTGAAAATACAAGTGCTCTGTTATTGTAGTTCACGTGTTGATTGCTAGCAGAGTCCTGAAACTGGAAGAAGCCTACTGAGGTCTTCTCATCTCACCATCCTGATTTTTTTTTTTTAATTTATTTTACTTAAATTCCCAAATTATTCCAGCTTAAAACACAGACTGCTGGAAACAATGCCACTGAATTCAGTTGGTTATTTATTGGGCATACTTGCGTGTGATTTAACACCTTCAGATTAACCTTACACTGTGATTCCAAGCCACCAACTATTAATCGGAATCTCTGCTCTATAAGCACATGCTCAAAAGCATTGCAAATGATTAACATTTTTTGTTTGGAAATGCATGGGTTAATTTCTGGAGTAATGATTCCTGGAATTTTAGCACATTCAAACAGTGGTCACAGAAGGTGGGTTCTAGAAGTAAAAATAGAGGTGTGACAAAAGTTGGTTTCACAACCCATCAAAATTGGGTTCTTACAAGTTAAGTGAAAAACCCTCTTAATTACCAAAAACCTTGTAACTTGGCTAGTTACAAGCTCTGCTGAGGCACACTCAGCTTCCTCCCTCCATCCCACCTATAATGAAAGAGCAACAGTAACCTGCACATGCTGGAGTGGGGTGAGGAAGAGACTTCCCTTTGAGCACAGCAGGGGGTTGGTGATGTTGCAGCCACACCACACGTGTTCTCCTGCGTTTAGGTAGGGACGTACTTTACTCCTGTTGCAAGCTTCAGGAACAGCTGCCACGGACACCCTGCGGCTGGGGTAGCACAGTGCTTAATGCATCACTCAGTGGATTTTTTTAACAGCATTCTAAAATGCCTCTGTGTGCCAGGGAGGAGTGCAGAATGCAAAAGGCCACCTAGGCGAGCAGCAGCCTGCCTGGCACAGATCAGAAAGGCAGGAGCAGGAAAGGCTGTGAGTGCCACAAAGGCAGAGCTACCTCTAAAGGAGCAGGGTTGGCAGCTACCCTCAGGGTGTGGCTGGAGCCACCCCTGCAGCATTGCTCTGCAGCAGCACAGTTCTGTGAATGTGGAACTGAAGGGCTGCCCACGCTCATCTTGGCCAAGGACGAGAAGGGATAAGTGAGTGTAATTAAATAAGTTTGTGGCTGTGAAGAGGGTTTATATACTCAGCAGAGTTGTTCTTTATCATTAGCAATTTGGGCTTATGCCCTCCCTGTCCTACAGAATTTTAAAATGACTAGTTTACTTAAATTACTAGGTACATACTGTATTCTCCCCTCCTTCCAAATAGAGGGAGTGAATTAATTTTTCTGCATGAGTTTGTCTGCTGCTGGCTCTGCAGCTGTGCGTCACTGGTTTCTCTCAAGAATCAAAATGAAATGCTTACTAAATCTGCTTTTATTCACAGAAAGATGAGCCAGATGCTTTTAAGGAATTGGGAACAGGCAACAGAATTGCTACTTGGTTGTTTTATGTAAGTGATATATTTCTGCCATGTGTCAGTGCCAAAAAAAAAACTATCACTGCATATTCTATACCACTGAATGATTTTGTTATGTTTTTTTACTCAAGTGACTTGCAAATGAGGGCAGTCACTATCTTCATGGTGACACATACAGGGCATCTTCTTACCCATACATAATAGTTCTTCTATATGTTCTTAAGGAGGCTTTTCCTCTTCAAAGTTCAGCATAATTTTAAACTATTTGACTGTCTATTCATTTTTGTATCTGCATCAGTATTTGTGGCATACTCATTGCCAAAGCACTTGAGCGTGTAACATTCAGGCTAGCTGTTGCATTGGAACAAAGAGGGTAGGTTGCAGCCTTTTTCAAGGCCGTTAATCATGCAGCCTTTGCTCACTAATTGGGAGGTAGAAATTAAGTTTAGTAACCTAATTGTGATTTACTAATCTGTGAGAATGTGTCAGCTTGCAATTTATCCGTGCCTTTTCCCACCTTTTCAGATGAGCGATGTGTCAGCAGGGGGAGCTACTGTCTTTCCTGAAGTAGGAGCTAGTGTGTGGCCTAAAAAGGTAAGCAGGATGTTTTATCCAGTGTAACCACTCCTCTCCACCTACTCAAATATAACAGATGTACAAACGTTTAAAAAGAAGCTTTACAATGAGTTTATGTGAAGAAGGTTAGAGCCCTGTTCACAGAAGCACAGAGGTACTTAATTGTAAGTGGAGCAACTAGAGTAGTACCGGTGATACCAAAGGCCTCTGCTGTTCTGCCTATTAATGCATAGTTATGTTTTAGACTTAGCTGCTTCTGATGCATAGGCTTTGCAAAACATGACAGTACTCCAATCTGTAAGCAGGTTTAGTCTTGTGCCATCTGTAGGGAATTCTCCCTGAAGTTGCGAGTTCATGTTAAGATTTTTCCTCTCAGAAGGGTTCCTAATAATGTCTGGCTTTGCTGGCCTGCTGCTCATTTTTACTAAATCATCTTGCATTATAAAACCAGTCAGAGCTGAATGAAACTGGCTTAGGGTTTCATTACAAATAACAGCCAATAATATATAGACACAGAATGAGTCAAAGGAGATTTATTCCTGAGGAAAGCAAATGTTAGGAAAAAAGCCTTGCATTTAAAAGGAATGTCTGAAATACAAATATACGTACCTTTGCCTCATTGTTAAGTGAGTGTGAAAGTGTGTCTCACACAGAGCAAAATGTTGAGGGTTTCCACTGCAATTTCCAGGGAACAGCTGTATTCTGGTACAATCTCTTTCCAAGTGGAGAAGGAGATTACAGCACACGGCATGCAGCCTGCCCAGTACTAGTTGGAAACAAATGGGGTAAGTACCACTCACGTTGTTCTCGCTGCCAGCAAACAACCTGGAGGTCTGGGGCTTTACTGGTGGGTTGTCCTAGTTTTCTTTTTGCTCTGCATTTCAGGGTGGAATAAAAAGCAGCCAGAAATTAGGGCCTTTATGAAATCATAGAAGAATTTCTTTTAAAGAACTATTTTGTAGCTATGCTACTTCATATATCTATATGTTACATTTTATGTATGATATATATATAGTAATATCTTCTGTTATATATGTATAAATATCTAAAATATATATAATGCTATATCTGCTTCAGTAGTCTTTGTAGTTTTGCAGCTCCTGGAAGTTTTTTTGCATCTTTGATTTATTGGGAAGGTTTTTTTTCTATCTTGGATTTATTAGACCAACTTCACATTTGTGTGTGTTTATGTAGGAAAATTAACATAATTCCGTGCTTAACGAAAAGCTGACAATAGCGTATATTTAGCTTAAATAGAAGCACAAGCTAACCAGGTACAGTGATCAAATACCTTTATGTCTTTGCAGTATCCAATAAATGGCTCCATGAGCGGGGACAGGAATTCCGAAGGCCGTGCACTTTATCAGAGTTGGAATGATGCAGACTTGTCCTTTGGCTCTTCTGTATTCAGTCTGCGTAAAATGCACACATCTCCTACAGTTTACAATCGACTAACACTCCACTCCAGGTTCAGTCTTCAACTACACCGGTGTTTCATCTGTGGACAAAACAAATATGCTTTTAGTTCCCTTAAAATACCCCCCCTAAGTTTTATGAACAGAATATATTAAGG